CAAGTTCAGTAATTTTGTCTTAATTTTGGATTTGGATTTCTCTCCATAGTGTCTGGTGCTGGCACCAACTCGAGAATTGGCCCAGCAAGTGCAGCAGGTGGCTGCAGAATATGGTAGAGCTTGCCGTTTAAAGTCTACTTGTATTTATGGAGGTGCTCCAAAGGGACCACAAATACGTGATCTAGAGAGAGGTATTAAAAAGGACTAGCAGATTTCTCCTAAACATGATTTAGGAGATTATAGAACTTTGTATCCACCACATTTATTACTACTTTCAGGTGTGGAAATCTGCATTGCAACACCTGGTAGACTCATAGATTTTTTAGAAGCTGGCAAAACCAATCTACGGAGATGCACTTACCTTGTTCTTGATGAAGCTGACAGAATGCTTGACATGGGATTTGAACCTCAGATCCGAAAAATTGTCGAACAGATTAGAGTAAGTATAAATATTCATGTTTAATAATATGCTGAATGATAGGAAATTCTGCCTTGAAATATTCTTGTTTGTAGGTAGTGATTGAAGTAACTAATACATTGTTAACTATTAATTTACTTCTAGCCTGATAGGCAGACACTGATGTGGAGTGCAACATGGCCTAAAGAAGTTAGGCAACTTGCAGAAGACTTCTTAAAAGAATACGTACACATCAACATTGGGGCATTGGAACTAAGTGCAAACCACAACATTCTGCAGATAGTGGATGTATGTCATGATGTAGAGAAGGATGACAAGTAAGTAAACTTGATTAACTTTCTTCATAGTGGTGGCATAGATTAGTTTTTATGTGGTAGTCAATTTTATCACTAAATTCTACTTTTATTCTGATAGGCTTATTCGATTGATGGAAGAAATTATGAGTGAAAAAGAAAATAAGACAATTGTGTTTGTGGAGACCAAAAGACGATGTGATGATCTAACAAGAAAAATGAGGAGAGATGGGTAAGCTAAACCTTTCTTTAAAATAAATTGGAAGAATAGGCTTTATACCTGAATAATTTTTGGTATAGGAATCCTATACATTTCTGATTGATATGACAAATGGTGAGCTCCTGGTTTGAGAAAGTATTTGGTATATAATGTTAAATATAATTACAGATGGCCAGCAATGGGTATCCATGGTGATAAAAGTCAGCAGGAGAGAGACTGGGTTTTAAATGGTGAGTAAAAAGGATAATAAACAATTATTCTGCAAAATACTTAGTGAAGCAAACTAACTTGGCCATTTCTTGCAGAATTCAAACATGGGAAGGCTCCTATTCTGATTGCTACAGATGTTGCCTCCAGAGGTCTAGGTTAGTACGACTCTAATCTTGGGTGATACACAATTTTTTTTTAAAGAAAGTTAATTGCTTTCTTTAACCTCTGCGTTTTTCTAAGTTTTTTCACATAAAGGTGCAGTCTTTGTGGCAAGGCCTAGGCATGACTATCGGAGGACTCGAGGGGGATGGAGGACTAGTGGAAGTGATCGTCTGGACGCTTCCAGTCCGGTAGAGAGGTGAAAGTTGATCATTGTGTGCCAGTAATCTTCAAAAGGCAAAGACTAAAACTACGGTCCCATAAACTGTTCTCTCAAACGGTAGCTTCATTCACGGTTCACTTTTGCCCGGTTATTTCTACTGTTCCATGCTTTGCATGACTTGCCATGGTGCACTGCTGTTTAGTCTGTGTGCATATTGTTTGCTGTGGTCCGTGAGTCTTTGGATTTCAGTGAGTTTGCTGAAATGTTGAAGAATAATCAAACTTCAGTGGCCTGGTATTTTTTCCCCAACCTTTGAAATGGAGAGAGCAGCTTTAAAATGTACTGAGCCTTGAACAAATTGGTGAGTACTGGCACATGAAATTTGAAAGTCCACCTCTCATTTACAAGTTGGGGTGGGAAAGCAGTGGCTTTTCAAACCTGGAGTTCCTCCGTCACCTATACCCTAACCGTCATGTCGAGACCTGCCAGAGAGAGAGACACTCAAGTGAACGCTGGCTTCTTGGAAGCTCTTGCCTTGACGAGACACAGTGCATGAAAACAACTTGATGACCTTTCGGGGACAGGTATGTTTTTCTTGCAGCTGCGGTTAAAAGGTCTTGGCAAGATGAGCAGTGTGGCCCTCTTTTTGAGCTTCTGGTGCGTGGCAAGACCTCATGTTTAAAGTGAGGTCCTTGGGAGCACATGAAGAGGCTACTGTGAACTTATTGGTCCTACTGCAAGAAGCGTTCAGATGTCACTTGACTTGTAGGGGCACTCTGGTAAGGATTTAGATCGTGGGATAAATTACAAAGAATTTCAGAGGGAACAGTGCATCGATACTCAATTTTTCTTTTTTCTTTTGGAATAATTAACATTATTTTCAGCAGTTACCATCTTAAGATCTGTTACTATCTAACTTGCTTTTTCATCTGGCTGTTGTGGTGTGCAAAATTTTGTACATTGCTTTTGCTGCACTGCAACACTTTACAGATGTGGAAGATGTGAAATTTGTCATCAATTATGACTACCCAAACTCCTCAGAGGACTATATCCACCGAATTGGACGAACTGCCCGCAGCACCAAAACAGGCACAGCATACACATTTTTCACACCTAATAATATAAAACAAGTAAGCGACCTCATCTCTGTACTTCGTGAAGCTAATCAAGCAATCAACCCCAAATTGCTCCAGTTGGTTGAAGACAGAGGCTCAGGTAATCACGACTTACCTAACCCATTGATTTTTTTTTATTATTATAAATTTTTACAATTTTACAATAAAAAAACCCCTTCCCCAATCCCTCCCAACCCTCCCCAAAACCCTCCCCCCTTCTTCCCAGAGCTGAATACAGGCTAACCCGTTGATTCTTAATTGCCTTTTGGCTTAAATATTTCAATGCCTGAAATAGAGATTTTTGGTAATGATGCTTGGCAAAGATACATTTCTTACTGCTTTAATTGTACTATGTATAATATGTTGAATCTAAGCACATGTAGAGGAAGAAACTTGGGAGTAAGGGAAGATCCTGTTAATTTGCTTTTTGTTTTGCAGGTCGTTCCAGAGGGGACCGACGTGACAGATACTCTGCGGGTAAAAGAGGTGGATTTGGTTTTAGAGAAAGGGAAAACTTTGAAAGAACCTATGGTGCAGTGGGCAAGAGAGACTTTGGAGCAAAAGCCCAGAATGGTGGCTTTGGTGCTCAAAGTTTTGGTAACGGAACTACCTTTGGTAACAGCTTTGGAGCAGCTGGCATGCAAGGTGGATTTAGGGCTGGCACTCCAGCCTATCAAAATGGCTATGACCAGCAGTATGGAAATAACATGGCAAACATGCACAGTGCAATGAACCAACAACAGTATGCGTACCCTGCAACTGGTGGTACGCCAATGATAGGTTATCCAATGCCAGCAAATTATACCCAATAACTTAGTCTATTTAAATGTCTTGTTTTTCATAATTGCTCTTTATATTGTGTGTTGAGAAAAGATAGTTATTTAATATCTTATGGAACAGGCAGAAAGGTCTGCAGTGCAGCAGTAACAATGGTGCACTTTTTCCGCTATTTAAGTTGAATATTCTCTACATTCCTTGAATGATTTTTAGTTTTTTGTACTAGAAAATGCAGACTGTTTTCACAAAGTAAATGTACAGTGATTTGAAATAACAGCAACAGAAGGCATTGCATGGCCTTCCAATAAAGGTATTTCAAAACAGAATTTTCTTGTTATTTGAATGATGTATTAGTCTAAACTACGGCTAGTCTGTTAATGCTACAAAGGGCACAAATTTGATGTAGTGATTGTGAAATCTTTGGAAACTAAAGAAAGGAAAACATGACTACTTGTATCTCTTTCAAACCTTTTAAGACTGACTTGGCAATTGTCAGATGGAGCTGAGCAGGAACTGGTTCATTATGTCATTGGAAAATATATCTTGCCCCCCCCCCACTGATTTTTGCAGCTACATGGCAAATAGACAAAGGTACTTTTGGAGATTTATAACTGGGTTCCTGAATTTTGGGGAAGAATTCCAAGGGATACTAAACATTCTCATGAAAACCTAATACCTTTTAATAAAAGATGTCAATAGAAAAGTTTCTATTATACTTTTGATTTTTTTTTTTTTTTTTTTTTTGTAGACTTAATCTGCTCTCCTCTTGCAATGTAAATCTAGATTCCTGATATGGGCAGATTACAGCTTCAGATACTTCAGTGTCTAAAATGGTTTTGGGAATTAGATATGTTCTAAATACAACCATAAGGCTGACAAATGTGCCAAACACATGCACACATTCAAGAGATTTTGGGCCTTTGAGTCAGTGTTGACTCCTGTCTCTGCAATTTTCTTGGCAACATTTTGGAAGTGATTTGCCTATCTCCTAAGGCTGAGAAAGTGACTGGCCCAAGGCCTCCAGCTAGTTTTGTGCTTAAAGCTAGGATTAGAACTCAAATCTCCCAGTCTGCAGCCTTGACCATTAGACTAAGGTGATCTTAAATTATTTTAAGCTTATCAAACATGTTAAGAAATAAACTTGTGCTTCAGGTGAATGTAAATAATTGAGTTGATATGTTTCAACTTGCCCATAATGGGATTATGTTGCATGATAGAAATTTCCTCTGGCCTATTGAGTCAGTGATTGTGTCAATCCAAATCTTAATTTGCATAGTAGGTTTCCAGGTGTTCAAGGAGATAAATGAATTCTTAAATAATAGTTAAGGGGACAAAAATTGGCCTTCAGCATTCATTAGTAATGAAACCTATAACCTTCAAGTATGAGTGCAGTACTTCAGGCTTCATGAAAAATACCAAATAGCAAAGTACACATTTTAAATATAAGTGAAATAAGATTCTGATACACATTGCTCATTGACATTGGCTAAGTGTATTTGCAATACAGATACCACACTTAACTGCTGCTAAGTGACAATTGCTGGTCCCGGTTGCCATTAGTGAAGACTACCCTGTACAGTACTTAAAAATTGGGTCACTTAGCTATGGCAGAAAATATTGTAAAATGGAGCACATCTCATTTAACAACTGCCTTGTTTAAAGGAAATTTTGGGCTCAATTGTGGTCGTAAGTCGAGGACTACCTATATTGCAATATGGTAGATAAAAGTCTCCAGACCAATCCAACCTAAAATTGCCCTGTGAAATACTACTAGTGTCCTGCCACGAGGCTTCTTAGTCAAAACAATCGGCATCTGTTAAGTTTCCTTTAAGCGTCTTGATTAACTGGATGAGGGCATGGCGAATATCATTCAAATCTCATTAATTTGTGCTGACGGCTTTCACCCTCAAAAACTAAGAGTAGAGCCCTGCCGAAAGCAGAAGGAAGATAAACCTTCTGCAGCCCCAGGCGGCATGGCTAACAGCGACGGATGCCGGGAGTTGTAGTTCATTATCACCCGAAAGCCTCTGCGGTCTCGTCAGTGTTGCCAAACTGAGGACCACGTTTGCCGGGCGAAGCGGCGCATGCGCATTTCAATCAGTTTCCCCCAAGACGTTTCATACATGTGGCTCGGACGTTGCTCCCGCTGGGGCTGCTTGTGCCTTGCAAATTCTGGCGTTTCCATAACTCGCAGCGGTGGGCGCGGCTCCGGTTGCCCCTTATCTGGTAGGCCCCTCAGTTTTCTCCACAGGCGCTCCCGAAAGAGGCGGAGAGAGAGGCAGCCAGGAGCCCCGTGGGGGGAGCAGCTCGACAGCCTGAAGCTGCTGGCGGGGAGCCGCGCGGGGCCGTCGCAGCTTTTCCGGGGCTCCGCCGTTCCCTTGGTAGTCCAGTCGCGCCTCTGCCTATCTTCTAGCGGCAGCGGCAACGGCAGCCGCGACCATGCGGGCGAGGAGTGCGACGAAGCAGCCTTGGCTGCTTGTCAGAGGCGACATTTCCTCCGAGGAGGGGGAGAAGACGGCAAGCAGACCTGGGCTTCTTACCTGCGAGGGGACCACCCGGCCTTCGGGCCTCTGGGGGTGGCGCTGAAGAAGAACCTGGCCGCGCAGTGGTGGGAGGCCGTGGTGGTCTTTCGGGAGCACGTGCTGGGCGTGGAGGGCCCGGCTCGACTCGGGCCCGCTGCTGACTACGGGCCCCTGGGGGAGGCCCTGCGCTTGGTGCATCCGCGCACCGTCTGGGAGACCTTGCAGGAAGCCGAATCGGACGGAGAGCAGCCGCTCGTCCCCTTGCAGAAAATGCTAGCCCGATCTGAGATGCTTCGCGACAACCTTCTTCACGGTAGGATGTCACTTCTGTAGATTGTTACTTCTGGCCGGGGGAAAAAAGACCTGTAACGCGGAAGTCAGAGGGGAAATCAGAATGGAGATGTGGATGTCATTTGCAGTAGAGCACCAATAATGGCTCTCGGAGTCGGGCATTCGACGATAGCAGCTCTTATATACCACAAATAAGCCAACTTACAAAATTGAAGTTTATGCGTCCATGAATATGTGTGAACAGGCTGCACTCTTTTAACTCTTCTTGTGTGTCAGGAAATGTTGGAATATGTGGGGTTTGGGCAGATGTGTCTGTAAGGTAAAAGTAAGTATAATGGCATGTGCTTGGGAGACAGGAGGAAGAGTTGTAGCCCAGGCACTCCAAATACATAAAATCTGAATCCAAAGAAGTGGGAATGGAGAAAGTATCTCAAAAAAAGAGAAAGTACTCCCTAGCTTTTGGGGGAGTAAAAAGGAGGGACAGGAGAGGTACTTTCATTTGCAAGATTCTGTAACTGTATAATAAAGGTTGTGTTAGTATTAGTGGTTGGTGCTACTTGTCTGCACTGTCACAAAGTGGAGACAGTAGGTGATAAAAATGCATAAGAGTGCTGCTACTTTTCCACATGGAAAGAAAGAACTTGCATTATAATGTCATTATGAACATTTTGCTATTTTGGTGTGTTTGTGGTTGGTTGTTGCCTAATCCAGGACTTCTGTGTTTTTATGGTTATGTGACTGTTGTGTTCCTATGCTTAGTTTAAACTTTCATTTAACGGAACAGAGATGGCACTGTAGTTGTTAATTGAAAATGCAGGTATGTTAAGTGTTATGTCTGAGATTAGGGCATTATATGGTATAATCAAGCATTAGAATCATGAGCTTTTATGAGACATTTACATCACTGCTTAGCATATTTGCATATAATTATCCACAGGCTGTTTCTCTTCTGGATAAATGAAATTATCCTAAAATATTGTAATGCATCAATTGTTAATGTTTATTAATTTATGTTGATAGGTGCTTTAGAGCATTATATTGATTGTCTGGAATTGGTAAACCAGAGACTGCCTTTTGGAATTGCACAAATAGGAGTATGTTTTCATCCAAATGACACAGATCCTATGAGGTACACTAATCCAGATTCCTCAGTTCTTTTTTGTAGATATGTGCCTTTTCTTGGAAGATAAACAACTTGCTTATTTGTTTACCTCTTCTTGGTATTCTTTAAAGAACAGTTGAAAGGACAATGGCATCCCTTGTTTGGTACAGCTCGGTCAGAACAGCTGGACAGTGGCTTGGCTATTGGTTACGTCAGCGGCTCCAATGGTGGAGAAAGGTATTTAGAGAGATCTTACCTATATTAGATGTTAAAATTATCAAAATATTGAATAGGTCCTTTGAAAAAACTGCTTTGAAGTTGAAAGTAAAATTGATATTTTTACATTTAATTCATTCAGCTCACTGCTTTAAATGCTAATCTAATGGTAACCGAATTACTTTTCTTCTGAGTAGTTCAGAAAACCAGCAACTGCAAACCAAAATATTCAATTTCTATAGGTAACAGTCCAAAATTAATTTGAAATTTAAACAGAAAAATTTCAAATGATTTTTAAAAACACTTTTCCACAAATGTTTTGGGGGATGTTAAGATAAGTTTTTACAATTTGTTAGAATTAGGATAATTTTTTTCCTAGATCAGCAAAAATTGCAGTCTGTGCCTGTATAGTATGGCTCTGAGCTATACGTTGTTTCCTAACCATATTTTTCAAAATGAATATGTACTTATTTTCCAAGGTGAAAAGCATACAGTTTTCAGTTTGTTGAGAATTAAGATAAATATTTGTAGTGTTAATTTGGGTGTATCTGGAATATACTTAAGTCTGTAAATCCTTGCATATTTATATTACTTTTTAATATACTTAGTCTGTAAATCCCTGCATATTTATATTACTTTCTAATAGTTTGCCACAAGCCCATCCAACTTCAGCAGTGGCCCTTGCAATGAAGAAGGAAGAAAAGGAAACAATCTGTATTATAATTTTCCCTGGGGGAAGGAAACAATAGAAACTCTGCAAATGTTGGGAGACCATGAACTATTACAAATGTATCCAGGAAACGTATCAAGATTGCATGTAAGTTTTATTAAACTGTTTGGTGCTGTTGTTATGTTACCACTGTCACTTTTTTTTGTACCATCCCTTTTGATATTATATGAGCAATATAAGTGATAATGCTGAAATGTGGGCACATTAATTGAATGCACATTTTGATGTTTCTTCTTCAGGGTCGAGACGGGAGAAAGCATGTTGTTCCTCATGTCCTCTCTCTGAATGGCAATTTGGACAGTGGAGTATTAGCGTACCTCTATGACAGCATGCAAGTGTCTGAAAATGGCTTGACCAAAAAGAAAGCTCTGCAGAGAAAGGTGATTCATATTCCTAAATTAAATTAAATCGATGCAAATGGAAGCTGAGCATAAGATTCTTCCCTTGCAACTGTGTTCAGAAAATGTGTTTAATTCTGTCCTCTGTTTTGAGTCTTTTCATTTGGAGAATTAAAGATTCCATTGCTGTAAATTTGAAAACTATAAATGCAGTTTCCATGGCTTTCAGTGTGTTGGATATAGAAACTTTCCATAAGGAACTGGAGTGATCTTTGACCCTTTCCCACGTTCCCCATCTACTGCATGTGTGAATCGTCTTCCTCCCCCTCAAATTCTGAAGATTGAAGGCTTGGAGAAACAACCGCTGGAGGTTGCGGTGGAGGGACTAAGCAAGTATCACCTTCATTTTCCCCAGCAGGAGTATTCTGAGACAAGGAAGCTAGCTTTAAGAACTGTCCTTCTCTGTAAATATTTGCAATTGTTAATTTTTACGTTATTTTTCAAAAATGTTTTATTTCAGGTCCTAAAACTTCATCCATGTTTGGCACCATTCATAGTAGCTTTGGATATGGGAAGGGGCCCAACAGTCGAGCTGAGGCAGGTGAGCTATCACAGCAAGATTTTTTAAATAGTTTTTATGTCTCTATTTGAACAAAAGCAGCTGATTTTTTTTTTTTTAAAAAAAAGCACTTTCCATCTAATTTTGTTGGCCAAGCTCTAAAGATAAAAGATAAAAACCCTTCTCCAAGAAAAAAAAAATTAGCCAGAATCTACATTCAATGCTGGGCTGATTCCAGGAAAGTATAGTGTAACCATAGGGCAGATTTAATTATATATACATTAAAGAAAACAACTTCAGTACGTATGGATTTTCTGTACTTATTGTTGGATCAAGGGTTCTGCTGTGCAGAGGAGAAATATTTTTGATCCACCAATCTGTTAACATGCCTAACACTGAAGCTTATACCTTTGGAAGTTAGGTCTGCACTAGAAAAGCTTTTGCTAAAAGCATGTCCCTTAGTTGTTGTTAATTGCGAAGTCGTGTCCAACCCATCACAACCCCATGGACAACGTTCCTCCAGGCCTTCCTGTCCTCTACCATCTTCTGGAGTCCATTTAAGCTCACGCCTACTGCTTCAGTGACTCCATCCAGCCACCTCATTCTCTGTCGTCCGTTTCTTCTATTGCCCTCAATCTTTCCCAGCATTAGGCTCTTCTCCAGTGAGTCCTTCCTTCTCATTAGGTGGCCAAAGTACTTGAGTTTCAGCTTTAGGATCTGGCCTTCTAAAGAGCAGTCAGGGTTGATCTCCTCTAGGACTGACCGGTTTGATTGCCTTGCAGTCCAGGGGATTCGCAGGAGTCTTCTCCAGCACCATAGTTCAAAGGCCTCAATTCTTTGGCGCTAGCCTTTCTTATAGCCCAGCTTTCACAGCCATACATTGCAACTGGGAAAACCATGGCCTTGACTATATGTACTTTTGTTGGCAGGCTAATGTCTCTGCTTTTTAGTATGCTGTCTAGATTTGCCATAGCTTTCCTCCCCAGGAGCAAGCATCTTTTAATTTCTTGGTACTGAGTCACTATAAAATTATATTATGTGGTTATAGGAAAACTGGACAGAGAATCTCCATTCTGCTCTTAAGTTCATCAGGGTTATAAAGATTGTTCTATCAAGCTTCTGCACCAATTGGCATGCTGCATTTGATCACACAGGATTTAAATTTGAGGCAGCTAATAAGGAAAATAAGTAATTAAAATAAATTAATATAATTTGTATTATTAAAAATTATATCTAAGTAAATGGATAAATTCTTTAGCTCAATCCCACTCATAACAGCTGAATATTTCTGAGGATCTGCAGAGTGATAAGCAGAGTGATGGACCACATAATCTGAGGTTATTTCCAATTTTGTGATTCTGATTTAACAGGCAGTATAAGATTTTGATCCATTTTTAAAAATCTTCTGATTGCTTCTGGAAAGCTTTTATCCCGTAACACCTTTGCAACGTTTTTGGCTTCTTGGCTACCAGGACTTAAATAGAGAATTTCTCTGTATAATTCTGTTTAGTATTAGTGTAGGGTAAACCTACATTCAATATTAGAAATGCATCATATTATACAGATATTGTATGAAAACTCCTGAATCGTAAGAAAAAGTCTAATAAAATAGGACCCACTTATCATTGATGGGAGCTCAGAGCACCAAGCTCTTATACCTACCAATGCTAATAAATCTTAATTACAAAAAAATAGTTTAGATTCTGAATTTTGCAAAAAAAAAAAATGTAGAAAATTAAAAATAAAATGTATTGAAAGAAATGATCCAAAGTTAGCATAAGGAATTTTTTTCACCCAGAAAGTATCGTGTATTTAAATCTCCTTAGTGCCAGATGTAAACTTTTGTATCATTACAGTTTTGTCTTTTAATTTAATGATTAAAGCTTTTTTTCCCCAAAGGTGTGCCAAGAGTTGTTCAAGGAATTGTTAGAAAATGAGACTACTGTTTGGCCTGGCTATCTTGAAACCATGCAATCCTCTTTGGAGCAGCTTTATACAAAGTAAGGAGGAGAAAAGGGGCATAATTCAGAATTTAATATTGAGAGGTAAATGTGGAAAATTGTATAATATTGACAAGTTTTAAATTTGCTCAAAGTCATTTTGAGCAAACCAATTAACTTTAAGATACTAACAAATGATGGCTGCATTTATTTGTAAATTGAATTTAATCATATGCCTTAACATACAGTTTAGTGAGTTGACAGACTAAATAAGTAGCATAATTGTGGTTTATCGGATAAATCACACTTGGATAAGTTCCCACTTAAATCAGATTTATACAAAGTACTTTATGGTTTAGAGTGAAATACAAGTCCATCTACTGTTTAGGTCTTGAAAATTCAGGACTCCATTTGAAAGGTAAGCAATTATTTGTTAAAGGAATTTAGAAAATGTAAATGGATCATATCTACTCTCTAATTCAGTAGTCCTCAACCTTTGTGGCCTGGCGACCCAGCTGGCGGGAGAACCGGACTGCACGAGTGGTGGACTGGCGCACTCGGCATGCACATACAGCTTGACTTGTGCCAGTTCTGAATAGGTCATAGCCCAGTAGTGGACTGCAGCCCATGGGTTGGGGATCCCTGTTCTAATTGATTCCAAAAATATGCTTTCCTACTATACATGCCTGATACTGCTGCTGTTGCATTCACTGGATAGTAACTCTTTGTTCTTATTCCTGTTGATAGGTATGATGAAATGGGTGTACTCTTCACAATCCTGATCAGTGATGCCACACTAGAGAATGGGCTGGTGCAGTTACGAAGCAGAGATACTACTTTGAAAGAAACGATGCATATATCTAGATTAAAGGACTTTATAATCAAATATATGTCTGCAGCTAAAAATACTTGATTTTTTTTTAAAAATAAAGGCAATTTTGAACCTTTCTTTCTGAATGATGACACTTATTTACCGTAGGTTATACAATATAAGTCAGAATATGCCTTCTCTAATATGTAGTTCTGTTTGCTGGGATATGCATTCTTTCCATATGAGATGGGAAGGTAAAGCAGACAAAATCTTTCATGTGTAGAATTAAAATTGTGAGTTCATAATATTACAGAACTATGTCTAACATAAACAGAAATAATATGTTAACATTCCATTTCCAAGCTTAAAAACTTGGTTTTTTTAAAAAAAGGTTTTTCAAAGGTTCAATATTGTTTTTCTCTAATTTAGATTTAAATAGAAATTAGGATGGATACGTTAAGGGCATCTATCATCTGAAGAAGGATCATTTAAGCCTATATTAATCAAATTGTTCTTTTTGCCCATTTTCAACAACAATATACATAAATGTCATTTCCAAAAGCTTGAAAGCATACTAATATGGGAAGTTGGTGTCATACGCTTCAGTGTCCATGTTGCTCTTTAATAAAAACAGAACTTCACCTTGGAGCCAAATTGCCAAGGGACAATAAATAATGCTGAACTTCAGAACTGAACAGAAAAGATCTGGTCAGTTCTTGGTTGTTGTATCTCAACAGAACTGACATCAAATCAAAGACATAAAATAAGGGACATTAGCTTCTTTAAATGTGACATGTTATAAGCAGTGAAGTACTTTCTAGAAATTCAGTATAAATGAGCAATTGGAAGAACCTGTTTAACATGGAAAAACAAGTGGGAATCCTGCTTCATAAGACAGACTCGGTATCTTTATATAAGGAATTATAAAGGCACTCAAAGTGAATGCAAAAAAAACCCACTGATTTATGAGACCATCCAAAAGGATCCCTCAGAAACCGGTTGGCTTTGCCTTCCCTACACCAGTTATAAGTAATCTTTATCTTCTGGTTATTTTGGAATTCAAATCAACTCTGAAAGCCTGTGTTCAACCCTGTCTTCCCAGTGAAGGATCTTATGTCCACACAGACAACTAACCATCCTTATTTAGTGAGCAGATAAACAAAACCTGTGAGTAGGGCAGGTGGCTTAATTTTCCATAGGAAAATTCTGATAAAAGAGAAAAGGAAGGCTAATGAGCTGGCAAAAGAAGACTGCCTTGAAAATTCTGAGAACAACTTAGATGGAAAAGGTAAGGTGGCCGACACATGGATCTAGTGGTGGCTGTTGAAGATTTGTTTAAAGTAATGCTGAAAGTTAGTGAATTGGATAGGACAGGTTTATCTTGGTGAGGGCTTGTTCCAGGGCAATTCAGAAGAAAATTGCTGAAGGGAATTGCCATGTGAGTTCCAGAAGAAGACTCATTGAAGGTGAACAGGAAGATCACGTTTGGCTTTCACGGATGATTCCCCTGTTGAAGGAGGTGACAGAAGATAAGGCATTCTACTAGTCAGAGTCTAGGAAGGAAGCCTGTACTAGTCTTAAGAAAATCTGACCTGTAGATACGTAGGTATTCTTGCCTCAAGTTTCCATCATGGCGTTCTTATGTGACTTGACCAAACAATATAATTCTTAATTTTATATATCTTGCACATTTTTGTCATTTTTCATCTTTCTCTTAACTCTTAACTGTAATCCTTGAGAACTAGAATGTTTACTACCAACGTGTTTACTACCAACAATTTTTGGTATTGTGAAAAATGAGATTCTGGGGACTGCATCAATGTTCAGATACTTATTCCGATGTTAGATTGTCTGCTGTGTTGTACAGATAAAGACTGACCCCCCAAAAAATATGGAACTAAAGAATAATTTAAAAACTCATCCTTGTCGTATAAAGGAATCACTCTTATCTACAGATGACTTCTGCATAGGTTACGGTACTGTCTTCATTGTCGTTCACTAGAATAGAAACAGGTAAATTTTAAAAATGTTATCACACTGAGGAGAGACTCCCCAAAATAATTCTTAAAACTAGATAAATAACATGACTTAGATCTATACTTGCTGGTAGAAGAGTGACAAATTGCTGTCATCATACCTGGATAAATCAGCTATAAAGCTGATACCTGTCCAATCAGAAAACTGATAGGTGCATGTCCATTGCACTGTTAAAGTTATGTAATTTGCATTGGGACATACTGGTGATTCAGGCCTACCTCTCCTAGCAGGGTATAGGTCTGCAGCTGTACTGCACTGGAACTGGTATTTGGAAGTCTCACTAAAATCAATGGCGCTCCCTTCCGAGTAAATAGAACGGCCTCTCAACATTTCAGAAATAGATCTCACTTTCAACCAATAACAGTTGGTAGAGCAACAGTAAGGAACTGTTTTTCAGACTGCTGAATAGTAGTTTTTCAGACTGCTGAATTACAACTGACTAAAGTTCTCACTATTGGCTATTTTAGCTTTGGCTGCCAAAAGTTGCAGTTGGAAAAATCACAAGTTTTCTATCCAATTCTAGGGAACTACAGAGAATTTTTATTTTGGTACCATTATGTCCTCTGCATTTTAATTACATTGCTTCACGCCCAAATGATGTATCTCATGTATATCCTGAGTGTATGTAAGCTAGCAGTTGAAACAGCAAGGAACTCTCTTGCTCTGATACGGATTTTTTCATTATCTTTTTTAGGAAGCAATGATATGTCCTTGTTTAGGTAGGCAGCACCATCTAATATTACTGCAATTATTGGCTAGTTTCACCGGCCCAAATGTACATAGACCAATCTCCAACCCTGTTAGCCTTCCATAAAGCTCTAAAAACCTGGCTATGCTGTTAAGCCTGGGGTACTACATGCCTCCCTGGCTATATTGCTAACAGGCCAGATATTTTGCTTGAGTATCCACTTCAAATTAGACGTTTTAATGTTTTTACTGTTCTAATGCTTTTTACTCTTTTTATTGTCTTAATATTTTATAAATTTTAACTGTAATATATGTTTTGAATTGTGAGCTGCTCCGAGTCATTTGCTGAGATGGGCGGCTATAGAAATCAAACAAATAAACTAACAAATAAATAACTAAACAAACAATCAAATAGACATAGACAGGCATGTACATGAATGCTCACACATAATAAGAATGCTTTTGGCCCACAGTAGTTAAAATTACCATATCTGTAATCTTCTGTCTTGGTTTTCATTTTCATATTGCAATATTCAGGTTCTTTGGTTACTCCATAAGCTGAATGATAATGCAAGAAAGGAATCAGGTACTGTTATAATAACGAGGGTAAGACATTAAGTGACGTTTCTTCGAAAGAGTTTCAAACATATGAATTAGGATATGCAAAATGGTTCAAACCTGAAACGATCCAAGTTCAAAATTATTCATGCATGAAACAAAACAGTTTTGGTTTGAGTATTGAAATAATGCAGGCTGGTTTCACGTTCAAGCATGAAATACAATACAACTGTTTGGAATGGAGTACTTTTCTTTGTTGTTTTGGTGATAGGATTGGAAGTTGTTTTGTCTCTTGCAGTCCTCTCTGGGTGGTACAGCAGGAAGTTATGCCCTTGTGTTATGGCAGTGGTTCTCAACCTTTTTAATGCCGCGACCCCCAACCGGTTGTAAGTCGAGGACTACTCAACTGGTGCAGCACCGTTTGCAGAATGGGACTTTTGGCGGGCTCAGCAGGGCAGAGACAGCCTGGACAATTCCTATTGGCTTTTGAAAGCCAATAGAATTAGACTCTATTCAAGAGAGTCTATTCTATTGGCTTTCAAAAGCCAATAGAACAAAAGGGAGTAGCACAGCTAAGGAAAAGGGGAAAAAAATGGTGGACTGCGTTGTTTGGCGACTCCCGTGAAATGGTCGTTCGACCCCAAATGGGGTCCCGACTCACAGGTTGAGAACCACTGAGTTATGGACCTAGACTGGGTGGAAGTCACCTGGAGATGGGAGTTTTGGAACAAAGAAGCAGGCATTTAAGAAATACTTAAATGCTGTGAGGGAACTGTTCTAGAGCTGGCTGTTCTCCTACGTCATTTCACAGCATAACTGCCTAGAACAGTGCAGTGTATCCATGCTGGCTAGGGAATTCTGGGAGTTAAAGTCCATATATCTTAAAGTTGGCAAGTTTGAAAAAGACTGGCCTAGAATGTAAATTACTGCTTGTTTTTTTTTCTTCATTTGTGTGCCAAAGAAACCCATTGTAAATACAAAACTATTAATATAGGATTGAGTTGACTGGATTGGCCTGTCTAATAAAATGTGTGTGTTTGTGTGTGTGTATTTACTGTGTCAGTTCTTTTGTCTGCTTGATTGTGGAGCTTCCAGAGTACCTTTAAGGCAGGGGTTCTCAACCTTGGCAACTTTAAGACTTGTGGACTTCAACTCCCAGAATTCCTCAGCCAGCTTTGCTGGGAGTTGAAGTCCACAAGTCTTAAAGTTGCCAAGGTTGAGAACCCCTGCTTTCAGGACTCACGACATTTGTAGAGGCATCCTGAGTCTCAACATCAATGGGCCCCACACAGGTTTAGCAAGCCATCCACATAGGATTTTTTTTTCCTCCTAAACATTTTCTATATACAGTATATGTATATGCTTTGTTTTGGTTAGTTGCATGAATGCTGACTCTTTTGGAGGTTTTGGAAAAACCGAAAAGGTTAACATTGGTTGGTTAGCTAATTGTGCTTTTGGTGTTTATCACTGCACTTTGTGCATCTTCATATGCCCTTTGTTTGTGCAGGCATCGGAGTGCATTTAAATATGCAAATGACTCTTGTTGATTGGCCTGCTAACCATAGGCTTAAAATAGCACTACAATCATGATTTTCGATACAAACAGTGATGGATTTTGTTGGAAAGGCATGTTTTATATTGTTTGTAATGATTTTGTATTATGTTTGGCCATAGCTTGTTTATTATAATTGGTTCACATAATTTTGGAAGGTGACAGAACTTGCAGGAGAGCTTGCAGGAGAGTACGCTGTGTGAACTCAACCAATTATATTTTAGTATAAACATGGTTAAGAAAAAGGTCACTTTGCACATTGTCTGACAAAGCCTTTGCTTTGGACACTTTAGTTTGAACTAGAACAAGATTATTATTGGCTAGGTTCACATAACGTGCTTAATTATGTTTTGTTTTATTCAAGATTTGTTGAACAAGACATGGTAGTTTGGTGCACAGATAATTCTAAACTATAAAGGTTAAAAAAAAGATAAAGGTTTCCCCCGTCCAGCCGTGTATGACTCTAGAGGGTAGTACTCATCTCTGTTTCTTAGCCAAGGGAGCCAATGTTGTCCAAAGACGCTTCCATAGTCATGTGGCCAGCATGACTACACGCCAAGGCGCATGGAACGCTGTTACCTTCTCACCAAAGTGGTACCTATTCATCTGCTTGTATTTGCATACTTTCTAAACTATAAAAACATTTTTACAATGATAGTGGCTAGGCTTGTATACCACACTGAGCTGGAAACAAACTATCTTCTAGTTTAGCAAAATCCATCAATCCATATATCTAGAATCCATAACTTTCAGGCCGAGAAAGAAAAACCAGAGAAGAGATATTCCTACTCCTTGTATCCCACTCACCACCTTAGAGTTTCCTGTGGTGGTATTTTTTTAATTCTCTCTCAGTTCTTTTAGCTCTCAGCTGGTGACTCTTCAGAGGGCAGTTGAAATTTAAGAAAGAACCGCCTGGCTGGTAATCCTACAAGTTATCCTGCTTGTATCGATTCAAAACTAGTGGTGCCCTTATCGTTCTATCCCATTTACTAATTATAGGCAGAATTTGCAAATTGTTGTAAATGCCAAAACTAAAGCAAAGGTGTTTAGCAAGAGGGGTAATAATTGTACAATAAGTATCATTGTAAGAGAAATAATAGCACTATGGAACGAGTGAAGGAGTTCAAACATTAGGGGGTCATCTTCCTTAGTATGAAAGAATCAATCAAACTATGTCATTGTTGAAGATCAAAGATTCCCAGTGTGGTCACTCAAATTGCTAGCTGTAGAGTTTTGTCCCCGAACCAGGAAAGCATTGAGCCTTTTGCTTTATGGCACATTGCCCTGCATGTGTAAGAAGATTTAGAATAAATTTATAAAAGCAACTGTTCTCTGATATTCTGTCTGGATTTGCATAAAAAAGTGTGTCTGTTAGCTAGACTTCATGACACTGATAGTTTTAGAAGGCAGGTATACAGGTAGTCACTGATTTACAACCACAATTGAGCCCAAAATTTATGTTGCTAAGTGAAACATTTGTTAAGTGAGTTTTGCCCCATTTTACGACCTGTCTTTCCACAATTGTTAAGTGAACCACTGCAGATGTTAATTTAGTAACACGGTTGTTCAGTGAATCTGGCTTCCCCATTGACATTGCTTGTCAGCAGGTCGCAAAAGGGGATCATATGACCCCGGGGTGCTGCGACTGTCATAAATATGAACCAGTTGCCAAGCATCTGAATTTTGATCATGTGACCCTGGGGATGCTGCAATGTTTATAAAATCTGCATCTCCTGCTTTGTGACAAGTGTCTTAATAAATAAGTAAAATTTAATAAATAATATTCTTGCACTTGGAAATTGATCTTTTCTCCTATAGGTGCACATTGGAGAAACTGAATAAACTATATGGAAAGTTCTCTTACCCACACAATGTTCATCGTCAAGTTGGTTCTCCCCTGGAAGAAAAGGATAGGCCCAAGATTAAGTGACGGTAGTCTCTCAGCTCTATTCTTGCTTCAACAAACACGCAAGAAACTCTGGAGTTAAACCAATATTTCAGTCTAAGGTCAGAAAGATGGAAGGCTAGCATAGCTTAATCCTAGCCAGCTATTTCCCTTATATTTGGTATAAGATCAAAGAGTATTTTAAAACTACTAGAGAGCATTTCTGCAAGGCTGCTGTGGGCAGCGCCATCTTGAGGCTAACTTTACTTCCACGGCACTGTCTTATGCTTAAAGAATATCTACCCATGTAGTAGGGCTGAATTGCCATTATCCTTCTCATCTTCTCATCTTTCTCATTTCTCATCTTCTCATCTTTCCTAGTACCTTCTCCTATTGGTATCTTATGATTTATGATCTATGACTTCTTATCACTTTGTTGCTTGTATATACACTGAGAGCTTATGCACCAGAGACAAAATTCCTTGCGTGTCCAGTCACGCTTGGCCTATTCCTAAATAGTATTTTTGGTAGCAAACCAAATAATTGATCTTAATGATGGCTCTGCAAGACAGGTGCACCAACATCCACCTAAAAGGTTGTTTCTGCCCTCAAAGACAAGGAGAGGGCTGTTTCAAATACTCAAACATATTTCCTTCTTCTTATTCATTTGCAAGAAATAGATTTTATGGCAATAGTAAAATGTTGACAGTTACCAGTATCATCATATGCAGTGGAAATATTAGCTGCTTTCAATTTCCCTGCAAAAAAAGAAAAAGAAAGAAAAAGAAGTTCCAGTTGTAGAAACAATGGGTTCAAGTAAACAATGGGTTTTTTCCCTCTGTGGTAAAACTATATTCTTCGTGTTAGATTACTGCAATGTAGTCTGCTTAGGACTGCCCCTGAAGATCATCCAGAAGTTGCAATTGATCCAGAATGCAGCCGCACAGGTAATTAAGGGCATACCATGTACAATATTATTTAAGGAGCTGGTGATCACCTACAAAGCCCTATGTGGCACAAGATTGATGTTTGTGAAACCACCTCTCTCCAGCTGTATTGTCCCATCCCAGATGCTATTCTTGAGAGGAGTCTATGTCCTCTCTTTCAATCAAGTCATCTGGATAGACCTAGGAAATGTGCCTTTTCTGTAGTGGTACCTGCCTTTTGTAAAAATCACCCCCCCCCAAAAAAATGGCTGGTTCTAACTCTGATAGCCTTTCAGAAGTCAGAAAAGCCTGTCTTTTCCTCTATCGTTTAGTTCAGTATATTAGATATACTTGTCTTGGGAGGTGACATTATGTATTTGATTACCATTTTCATTTTCATTTTCATTTATTTTTTAATGCCACATTAACTGCCCAAAGTTTCTTTGGTGAGTTGAGTGGCCATATAAATGAAATAAAATGAAACAATGTAATGAACTCCAATGAAATCCTGGATTCCCAGCTGAAAACCAGAGGTGCTCAGTCTGAGTCTTCAAGGCCCTATGCAATCTCTTGAAGTTTTGAGTGTAGTAGCTGGTTAAACTCCAAAATTTAATTTCTTCCTTAAATTACACTAGTAGTTAAACCTATTTATGATATACCATACCATCAAGGAGCCCTGGTGGTACAGTGGTTAGAATGCAGTATTGCAGGCAAAATCTCTGCCCACAGCCTGGAGTTCGATCCTGACAGGGCTCAAGGTTGATTCAGCCTTCCATCCTTCCGAGGTCAGTAAAACGAGGACCTAGATTGTTGGGGGCAATTATGCTGATATTTGTGAACCAGCCAGAGAGTGCTGTAAAGCACCCTGAAGTAGTATATAAGTCTAAGTGCTAATGCTATTGCTATTTAATTAAATGGAGTTAGATGCCTATAGATGTGAGGACCTTCTCCAACATATGGTTCCCCTATAGGGCTTTATAGTGATCACCAGCATCTTGAATTGCACCTGGAAACCCACTGGAAGGCAGAGCAGCTCACAAAACAATCATGTTGCCTGAGCATATTATAATTATGTGCACTAAATTTAGTTCTAATTTAATTGAAAAGTAAAGGAAATTAGCTTGTGAGGAGCAGTTTGCAAGTATTATACTCTATTCCAAGGGTGTCAAACTGCCAGCCTGCGGGACGGACGTGTCACCTGGAAGCCGCGCCCACCCCACTGCCGGCAATGGCAAAACTGTTCTGATATGTTGCGCAATGTCATGTGATGTCGCTAGTTTGACATGTCTGCTCTATTCTCTAAATTTGTAGGATATGAAATAGTTCTGACAAAAGGGGTGTAGCTATAAACTGAGCCCAGCCAATACTCACTTGCCTTACACCAAGGAAGGATCAATAGTCGAATTGTCACAACTGCTGCAATCAATAGCAGCAGGAGAATGAGAGGAGGCACAATGAAAACAGCTAGATTGTTACTTTCTGTTGTCAGAAGGAGAAAAACAATCATATTAATGGATATCTATCTTTAAGTATGATGGTGTTTTAAATAAATTAAACAGCAATGCCTTGGATCCTAAAACTGATATTCCACCAATTACTACTTATTAATCTGGTTTTGTGTAGTGGTTATGGCATCAGGTTAGAAACCAGGAGATGACTGAGCTTGGGCCAGTCATCTCTCTCAGACCTAGGAAAGAGGCAATGGCAAACCACTACTGAAAAACTTTGCTAAAAAAACCCTGCAGCGACTTGTCCAGATTGTTTCTGAGAATTGGACACAATTGAACAAAATAAAAAAAATATCCATGGACAGCAGCAATTTCCATCAATTTTCTCCTCTGTCTGAAGACTTTCCCTCCTTGTTATTCCCAAGTAGATGCTCAATTCTCAGGAGCAAGATTTAAAGAGATATGGGGTGCAGAGAAAGAGGGACAAACTATCCAGCAAAATTCCACTTATTTAGCCCAACTAAAAATTCCTGAACCTAAGCAAAATTCTGCTCTATTCATAAAAGGAGCAAAATCAGTGGCTGGGCAAACATATTATACTAAGAATCTTGACCTGTTTTAATAGCACGCTGTAAATCAAGATTTAGAACCATACTGGACTGTCTCAGTATGTATTCCATTAAGCGGAAGTAAAAAATACACGGTGGCTTAAGGCAGAAGTTTTCAAATGTTGTGGTACTATGACCCCTTAATAGTATACAGAATCTGTGCAACCTCATAAATAAATCAATTTATTTCACTGGGATTAGATTCAAACAAAAAATAAACATACCAATGACTTGTAATGAGCCATAGTCTAGAAAATAAAATAAATTATGTTTAACGGGGAGGAAGAACCTGGATCCTTGTTTTGTTTCTTTTCTGGCATTTACAATGTAGAATTCTACAAAGTAATGTTTTTCTAATAGAAAATGTGAGGGCCCCACTAATGTTCCTTATAGTTGTTTGTAAGAGTCATTGAGATAAAAGATAAATACAGGCAGAAACTGACTCTAACATTGATTTTTGATGAAGTATTATGATTGGTCTGGTTACTATTCTCCCCTCAGTTCGTTATTGTGTGTTGTTATTTTTACTCAGTAAAATCAGAAAAAAAGCTAGAAATGGATATTTCCTTTGTCTAGGCTACTATGAGCACCAGACTAAACACAGTCTTCCCCTTTTGGAATATGGTTTCTAGGACTAACACAGAAACCGACAACAAGCCTTGTTCAGTGTAAAGCATAAATATTTAAATTGTGGTTAGCAGTTGGGGCACAAATGGATGGAATAGAAAGGAGTGTTTCTATAAAGTTTTCTCACTGTGCTTTTTTTTTTTAAATCTATATTCACTACTTTTTTATATTTTAATGATATATATTGTCCATAGAAGAGAATATTTGTGGCTCTCTGAACTGTGGAGTCCTTGGTGCCTCTGAGCTTGGTTATTTTCTTGCAGATGTTTCATTATCAACTAGGTAACATCATCATATAATAGGCTGGGCAATTGGATGGTGAAATGTCTGCAAGAAAACACCATGGTCAAAGAGCACCAAGGAGCCTATATATTATTATATTATGTTGCATTGTTCATCATTATTCTTTTTCTTGCTTTCTTTCATATTCTACTATTATATAACAATAAATAAAATATTTATTATACTTTTAAAAAAAATACTATCTCTCCTTCAAAGCTATGAAAAATCTAATTTCTTCCTAGGCTATGAATGGAAAATCTGAAATAATGTAGACCTTGCTTAGTTACAACTGTTGGAAGTCAGCACCCACCCACCTACCCTTCTAGAGAAGGAAATATTTTGGGGGAATATTAAAAAGACAGAATATTATATTTCCCCCAAGTAATAATACGGTAGAAAAATCTTAGAAACCAGCCCCCTGAGTCTCCCTGCCCCAAGTAGGAACTCAGGAAACCACCTTTTAGAAATGCAGATTTGATAATCCTATTCAGAAAGACTGGAGCCAGGAACCCTGGAGCTGATTAGAAAGACAAAGACCCCTAATATCTACATCCCTCACCCAAAATCTAAAGACATGACCTTTAGGACATTATAGCAGTGGTTCTCAACCTGTGGGTCGGGACCCCATTTGGGGTCGAATGACCATTTCACGGGGGTCGCCAAACAAGGCTGTCCGCCATTTTTTCCCCCTTTTCTTTGGACACGTCCCTGGCACCCGGTGATGTATAAGTGGTTGGGGGTCACCACAACATGGGGAACTGTATTATGGGGTCACGGCATTAGAAAGGTTGAGAACCACTGCATTATAGGATTAACCCACCACTATTAGAATACCAAAAGGGCACACTGAACCTCAGGTCAAAGTTCATTGCCCAGGAACAGAAACAACTCCAAATACAAAAGCCCAAGAAGGTATAAAAACCCACTGCTTCCAGCTCCATTTTGTCAGCCACCCCAGAAACATGCTACTGTCACTGAAGTTTCTGGCAACTAAATAAACAAGAACCTTCTTTCTAAAGCAGTCTCCATTTTGTTTATTCCTGGCTTGGACTGGACCCTGGTGAAGATTTTCTTTCAACACAACTTTAGTATTCTTCACTGAACAATCTTTTTATCTGCTTCAGACTCTCTTCACTTGGCTAGGAGATATTCCCAGTACTGTTATATCTCATTCCCTCTGCCTTTTCCATATATTTTCCTATTTATGGAGAAAATGTAGTCTAGATTCTAGAGCCTTGATACAGCTATAATGACAGAGATACTAATCAGGTGGAAGGACTTAAACATTTCCCCATTTCTTTGAGAATAAGTATTAAGAGCACACAAAAAAAACCTAAAACAAAGAAACATCCCAAAAGCTGCCTCTAAAAACATACTTGTGGTCTTAATAAGGCCTTCCTATTGGAAAATACACATACCTCTTAATGTAAAGTTGAAACCTAGGCTATATGCTACTATATTTCTGTACTCAGCTTTGCACTTATATGGACCCAGTTGACTGCTGGAATGGATTGTAATGTTAAATACAACTTTTTCTTCCTTCATGCTCTGTGGTGCAGGTCCTTGTACTCTTATTTTGTTTAAAAACAAGACGTAATTAATTGGCAGACAATCTGTCTCCCAGTAGCACACCAATGTCACTTTTCCTCCAATTGTGATTTCTGGTATGGGACTGTAGATTTTGATAACCTTCGCGACCTTTGAGCAATTCTGAGGCGATTCTGTAATATAAATTGAATACTGATTATCAAACAATTCACACTACATTAACTTCAGTAGCACTGACTCTTCAGCACATCCTCATAAGGTCCTGGCCACAAAGGGAAGCAGTGTATAAATTAAGAAATACAAATCCCCTCTCTGCCCTATTTATCTCTCATTGTGTCTGCTGTTATCCAAGATGGTTGTCTTCTGAACCCATCTGCTGTCTCAGCTGATGGGAAATAATGAGCTAGGAGCTTTGCTTTGCTATCCTCCCATGAAAATCCACTAATATATGTTTCTGTTAGCAGCACAACAATTGTTTTATTAGAGTTACTGCTACCACTTTACATTAGCTGAACTTAGGCCAATGAACTTTTCTGCAGCTACTGGATAAACAAACAAACAAAAAACAAACAAACCCACAATCCATAAAGAAACAAATCCATAATCCAGGGATAAACAACAATAATTAAAGCCCTCTGAAAAAAATGTTGTTGTTTTGCTGTCAAATGAGATTTGTTGTATAGTTTTCATTTCTGAATGATTTCTGGAAGTAGATCTTTCTGCTTTTCATTCCAAATATTCTCCTTCTCCAAAAGAATATGAACCTGTGTTGAAAATTTTTAAAAACAGAGACAGATTTCTGTATTGGAAAGGGAAATCCATGTGATAAGCAGTTTTAATTTCCAGCTATATTCCAACTGATTTTTTTTAAAAACCCACATCATATTTTTTCATAAAGACTACTGAAGATTGATATTGCTCATTATTGTAAGGAATTTTTTAAAAAATTCTTTCTCTGATGCAGACCCTGTAAAGACATAATTTCATCTTGAACATCTTTATTTGCTTTCAGCAATGCTCCAACATCTATGATGTTAATCATCAGAATTTTCAATAAGAGTGATTTGTTTTATGTGTGAAGAAATTGCTAGCACTTTTAGCTCTGAAAGTTTCTGATCTAGAAAATCAAACTTTTATCTCTAGGAGCTCTGTTTTTCTTCACTATTGCTTTTTTTATCAGCATTCTGCTGTCAAAGATAATATCATGAGCAAGAGTAACTAGATTAATACACCCTACTTAACTTATTTTAAAAGTAGTTTCTCTTTTTTGTCAGAATAAAAAAAATACATTCTGCTTTGGCTGTTCTTCAACGCTAACCTTAGCTTTGAGAAGCTTTCCACATCAGAGGCAATAGAAGGTTTGTGTGATTCGGCTTCCGGTTCTGGGTCGCAGCACTGCGGTTGTGCAGAGAGACTCGTCTCTTCGCCAGCCGAGTTTCCCCCGCCGGTAGACCCTTGATTGGGTCGAAAGTCACCCTGGAGGAGCAACCACTGTTGAGGAGGCTACCTGTCTGACTGCAGGGGGGGGCGGTGCCCTCTGCAGTCCAAGCGAGCTCCTTTGGGTCGACGGATTAAAGATCGGTCAGTAAAATGGCAGATCACTTAGCTGCACCAGCCGTAAGCCACAAAAACATCTAAGCGAAATAGAACCACCATGGAAGATTCGGTGAGACCTTTCCTTGCCTCTCCCTTTCCTATTTATTCCTGTGAAAAGCCTTTGGAATTATTTCCCTATCTTTTTAAAGTGGCGATGGGGGAAGAAAATCCTTGGAATAAAAGAAAAATTAACTTCAACTTTTCCAATGGTTGACTTTATTTTTGAATATTTGGAGGTCCTAAAATCCCTGTTATAGAAACTTAATATACTAGCAATTTGGAGAATTTTGTTTTTCCCCCCTACTTTCTACTATTTTTATAGCTAAAGAAAAGAAGGTTATTGGTAGGGCAATATTGGAAGAAGGAGTGTTTGCCTACTATAGAAGAATGGACGCTTAAAGTGTCAAATTTAGCAGAAATGGCGAAAATTTCTGCTTACTTGAAGGATCATTCACAAGAAAGATACATTTCGGTCTGGAAAAGATAGATAGATTATATTCAGAATAAATATGGGACTAAAAAGTTCCATCTAATTTATGAGTAAATTTTAGAGTATTATTATTATTAATAGTTTATTATAGTAGAATTTTTATTAGTTTTATTATTATTTTTAGTATTAGTATTGTTAACAATTTGGATATTGTATTGTTTAATAATATCGACTTGTTTGTATTATGTTTATTTTTAATTTGTTTATACCTATGTTAAAGGGGAGTTAAAGCGCATTATGGACTTGGTTATTTATATAGTTGATTAATGTTAGTTAGAATTTGATTATTATATTTGTAACCCTGTACTCAGCTCTGGGAAGTGGGGGGCGGAGAGGGGGGTTTAGGGTGGGTGGGGTTTGGGGTGTATACTGTAATTTTTATAAAACTTTTCAATAAAAAAAAGAAAAGAAGGAAAAAAGGAAAAGAGGAAAGAAATTATTTTTATTGGGGGTCCTCTGGGGACATCTTGTGGTGAACTTATTTACTGCAATTGTTATTTCCTCTCTTTGGACTCTGATCCTGACTTTGACCTTCAAATAATCTCAAAAGGGAAAGATAAAGAAGTTGTACAGCTGGGTGGAAGCGGATATTGATTGATTGTTATTAAAGATAGCCTCCACCAAAAGAATAATGGCTTTATATATTACTGAAATGGAGGAATTCTGTAGAGATTTCAATTACAAGTATATATTGGACAAAATTCTTGAAAATACTGAACTAATAATTGCCTATACAAAAGAGATTATCTTTCAATGACAAATTAAAGCACAAAGTGTAAGTGAGCACTTTGCAGGCCAAGAAACAGCAGAAGAGGTATATACTCAAGAGACCCGTTCTCAACTTTACTGAGATGGAGGAACTAAACTTACATCAGGACTTTCAATCTACACTGGAAAAAATCTTTGATGCTACTGAACAAATGACTTTTAGCACAGAAACTAAGAATGTTACCCCAAAAGGGCAGGCTGATGTCCAGACTCCAACTGATTACCTGACAGATAAAAAACCAATAGGAGGAGAATAAAATAACATTAAAGAGGACTCTGCATTATTTTATAGACAATCTATTGAGACTTTGGATGACTCAAAAGTGACTGTAATTAAACTAGATGCAACTTCAGAAAAGATGAAGATTGATGTCCAACTACGAGCTATTGAGAATCGCTACAACTTTTTCACTAGCCTATTAAAATGGATAATGGGAGATTCTCCCCTGACTTACACGTTACGGCAAGAAATGGAGGGAGTTTTATTTGCGGACTTAGAGGCCTTACTATGGAAACCCATTTGGAACAGAAAGAAAGCTAGAATAAGATATATGGAATTTAAGATTATACTTATGGGTTACAATGGCTTTATAGAGATGTGGATTGATTTGGATTTGGATTTTTAAAAGGTGTTTTTAGGATAAGATTTAGAATTTAATATTGAAATATAGTAAGAATATATTCTTCAGAATAATAGATCTTCCTTCTTTTCTCTTTCTTTTTCTTGGTTTGTTTTTGCTTCTTTTTATTATTTTTTTTCTATTTTCCTATGCTTTTTTATTATTAGACATGATAGCTAATTTGTGGAGCTATAATGATAAAAAGATTCTAATGATGGAAGAGATGAAATTAATAAATGAAGAATTACTGAATAAGAAATAAAATATAGTTGAGAAATGTAAAAATGTAATTATGGAAATAATATACTTAAATAAGAGAAATTACGGGCACCCAAATTGTAAATAATATCTTTGCTTAAGGCTAAATTAGATATGGTATTTGGAAATTAATAAACCTAAAAACAAGGTTTGATTTACATTGATGAAATGTTGCTGATAACTTCTATTGATTAATTGAATTCTTATTTAGGAATGTGTTAATGAATTAATTTTACTTAGAAATGTATTAGCTTGATTATATTATTCTAATTGTTAGAGAGGGAAATTTTAAGGAGCATTACTTGAGCCATATATGTATGATGTTATTGTACTTAACTGATTACCCTATCTCCACGTTGTTTCTTAAGCATTCTGGTGTAAAAATGGAAAAATCAATAAAATTGTTTGGAAAAAAAAAGAAGGTTTGTGTGATTCCTGCTTTCTCTGTTTTTCGACATTGGATACATTATCACAGGGCAGTAATACAGATGGAGGAATTTTCACAGAGCCCATAAGCACTAGAGCACTCCAAAGCTCTCCGTTGTTGGAGGTCTGAGATCTAAATGAGAGCCTCCATACCAAATTGGAAATCTGGGGACTTCTAAAGTTGGAATGGTGACCCTCATAGCTCTCTTCCCCATCACGGCCTCCAGTCTTATTTTTCAAGCAGCCTGCATGTTGATGTGTGTTGGTATAACTTTCATTCAAGCTCCTCCCACTTGATTTTACTTACACATTGAGTTGTATATGTGTGATGGTCTTTATAAAATCTACTTGGTGCTCTGTATGGAGCTGCCCTTGAAGAGTTTTCGTAAACATCACCTGGTGCAAAATGCAACGGAATGAACAAGGGGTGTGTGTGTGTGTGTGTATGTGTGTGTGTGGTAGAACACGTGTTACATCTCTGCTTTGCAGACTGAACTAGTTACCAATCTCTTTCCAGATCCAATTCAAAGTGCTAGTGTGGATCTTTAAAACCCTTCATGGCATAGGACTGGGTTACTTAAAAGATCCTTCCATTTCCTACCAGTCAGTTAGAACAAAAGACACTTCTTGGATGAGATGTGAAATGGTTTCAAAGAAAGCACCAAGAAAGTCCATTTGCCTTTTAGAAAAAACACCTGTGGGACAACCAGGACCGAGACCAGGGGTAGGCAACCTTGGCTCTTTTATGACTTGTGGACTTCAACTCCCAGAATTCCTGAGCCAGCCATGCTGAGGGGAAAGGGAGAGTTTCCAAGCTGAGCCAAGCTGGCTCAGGAATTCTGGGAGTTGGTCCATGAGTCATAAAAGAGCCAAGGTTGCCTACCCCTGACCTAGATGGTCGAGAATCTCCACAGACATCAATTTTAACTATGTCATCATAGCTATTTATTGTGTGCTGGATATCAAAAGGGAGTAATTGAACATCATGAGTATTCTGATCAATAACCATAATGAGATTTTGCCATTATCCTAATATAAAATTACAGATATTATAATCTTGGTACCATGGATGGGGTTCATATTTCATGTGAAACCATTGTTTGTTAATTGTGGCTTGTTGAGTTATTGCTGATAGGTGATTTACAATTAATATTGTGAATTGTAATATTGAAAATAAATACAGTAGTCCTTGACTTACAAACACTTCATTTAGTGACCATTCGGAGTTACAACGGCACTGAAAAAAGTGACTTATGACCATTTTTCACACTTACGACCGTTGCACCATCCCCATGGTCATGTGATCAAAATTCGGATGCTTGGCAACCAATTCATATTTATGATGGTTGCAGTGTCCCTTAGTCCTATGATCACCTTTTGCGATCTTTTGACAAGCAAAGTCAATGGGGAAGCCAGATTCACTTAATAACCACGTCACTAACTTAATAACTGTGACGATTCACTTAACAACCTTTCAAGATTGTGAAATAGGACAAAACTCACTTAACAAATGTCTCACTTGGCAACATAAATCTTGGGCTCAATTGTGGTCACAAGTAGAGGACTGCCTGTAATGCAAGGTTATAGCCCATGAGGTAAATAAGCCAAATTGCTCGGAATGGCAACGGCTGACTTTGGTTCTTGCTCTTCTCTTGGCAACCAGTAGCAGGCTGAATCTCAATATAGTCATTTATATTCTTGTCCTTTGTGAATTTTCTCAACTTTGAATAACATCTAACAGTATGATTATCCATAGGCAGTAAATGTTAGTAATTTCAGTAAAGTAAGATTCAGTAAAGTCGATTTGCAGCAAGGAAGGAGAGATACCCTTCTCCAACTCAGAGAAGTGACATCAGTTTTTAGGAGTGGTTCAGAATATATATACCAAATAAGAATAAAAATGCAATGATAAACGTATATTCTGCAATCTGAGCACAGAAGACACACAAAATCCTCAGCCATTCTGCCATCCTAACATACAACCAGATTTCCAAGGTGACTTAACAATTAAAACTTTCCTGTAAGTTACATTTTTCTTTTAAAATTTGATATATATTTTAATTATGTTTGAACAGATGGTTCTCAGCAGAGATGCTTTAGCATACATCACAACCAAGTTGATGAAGTGATGGCCTTAATGGAAAAATATTAGATTAACAATAGAAAATATAAATATAACATATAATAAATATACGTCTAGAATTTCAAGGAGAAACTTACGAGAGTTAGCTCTATTATCCTCATTAACACCATCATGCTCCTTCGAATTTCGCACCCCTAAATGGACTGAAATTAAGAATAATTAACATCGAGTGACATTAAACAAATTAAACTATTGTTAAAAGTAAAGCAATCCTTACACAATGCTAACAAGAGATACAGAAATCCTAATCTTTCAGTCATCTTAAAACAAGAGTGAAGGAGCTGTTTCCTCTTTCATGCAAAGCACTGGTTAGGCCAGTGAAGCTTTGTCTGAAGAGGAAGTTTATGCAAATAAATGGGTGGAAATGACTAGAATGAAAAGTTACAAAAATTGTTTAAAAAAGTGTGATGATGCTTCTCTATACTAGTTTCTGTTTATGCTTAATTTGCTATTCTTAGGAAAAAAATATTTTGTAATTGGAAAGCAAGTATGGGGTGAGTTTATATCATTACTGCACATCAAACATTGAGAAAGTCACCAGAAAACTCCATTACAAAACTGTTTGCATGCTTGGAGGAAAAAGAACAATAAGATGAAAAGTGAAAATGACACATTAATCTGGAAGAAAAAAAACCAGAGAAGTGGAGGAACACATTCCTAAGTATAAGATGGGGATCGAAACCTATGGCTCAACTGTAGTGATAATATTTATTCAATTTTAATATCATCCTTATTTTTATTCATCCCAAGGCAGCAGCCACATCTAATACGTCTTATCTCCTAATTTCCCCACAACAACAACCCTGTGAGGTGGGTTGGGCTGAGAGAACGTGACTGGCCCAAAGTCACCCAATTGACTTTTATCGCTAAAGTGGGTTTAGAACTCACAATAGTAGTAGTAGTAGTAGTAGTAGTAGTAATAATAATAATAATAATAATAATAATAATAATAATAATAATAATAATATAAGTTGGAAGGGATCTTGGAGGTCATCTAGTCCAACCCCCTGCTCAGGCAGAAAACCCTATACATTTCAGACAAATGGCTGTCCAGTCTCTTCTTAAAAACTTCCAGTTTTGGAGCATTCACCGCTTCTGGAGCCAGGTTGTTTCACTGGTTAATTGTTCTAACTGTCAGGAAATTTCTCCTTAGTTCTAGGTTGCTTCTCTCCTTGATTAGTTTCCATCCATTACTTCTTGTCCTGCCTTCCGGTGCTTTGGAAAATAGCTTGACTCCCTCTTCTTTGTGGCAGCCCCTGAGATATTGGAACACTGCTATCATGTCCCCCCTCGTCCATCTCTTCATTAAATTAGACATACCCAATTCCAGCAGCCTTTCCTTATATGTTTTAGCCTCCAGTCCCCTGACCATCTTTGATGCTCTTCTCTGTATTCTTTCTAGAGTCTCAACATCTTTTTTACATCGTGGTGACCAAAACTGGATGTAGTATTCCAAGTGTGGCCTTATCAAGGCATTGTAAAGTGGTATTAACACTTCATGTAATCTTGATTCTATCCCTCTGTTAACGCAGCCTAGCACTGTGTTGGCTTTTTTGGCAGCTGCAGCACACTGCTGGCTCATATTTAAGTGATTGCCCACTAGGACTCCGAGATCCCTCTCACAGTTGCTATTATTGAGCAAGGTACCACCTATATTATACCTGTGCATTTGGTTTTTCTTGCCTAAATGTAGAACCTTGATTTTTTCACCATCGAATTTCATTTTGTTAGATAATACCCAATGTTCAAGTCAGTCCACGTCCTCCTGTATCTTAAGCCTGTCTTCTGGAGTGTTGGCTATTCCTGCCAGTTTGGTGTCGTCTGCAAATTTGATGAGTTCCCCATCTATCCCCTCATCCAAATCGTTGATGAAGATGTTGAAGAGCACTGGGCCTAGAACAGAGCCCTGGGGCACCCCACTACACACTTTCCTCCATGTAGATGCAGTTCCATTGAGGACCACATGCTGAGTATGGCCAGTCAGCCAGCTACGAATCCATCTGGTGGTGATGCTGTCTAACCCACTTTTTTCTATCTTATCGAGTAGTAGGTTGTAGTCTACTTTATCAAATGTCTTACTGAAGTCCAAATAAATTATATCCACAGCATTCCTCTGATCCACTAATTTTGTCACTTGGTCAAAGAATGAAATAAGGTTTGTCTGGCATGATCTGTTTTTGACAAACCCATGTTGGCTTTTAGTAGTGATTGTGTTTGCCTCTAGGTGTTCACTGATTCATTGTTTGATTATCTTTTCCAGAATCTTCCCAGGTATTTTGAAAACCCTCCACAAAAGGTCGTGTAAGCTTATCCATCTGGAAAAGTTTACAAAATGATTCTGAAAGCTCTCAAGAGTTCATTAATCCACAATTAGAGACAAAATCTTGAAAGGGAGATGAGACAATAGTGCCTTTTTCATGTAGCTAGAAGAGTGAAACTACGTACAGTTATTTAATCCAGGGGTCTCCAAACTTGGCCACTTTAAGACTTGTGGGCTTCAATTCCCAGAATCCCCAGCCAGCAAGAGTTGATGTCAAGTCATCGAGTTGCCAAGTTTGGAGAGCCCTGATTTAATCTAATAGGCAGGGCAAGTCCATGTGCTGCCAATTTGAGGCAGCAGAAGACAATAGCTCAGGTTTCTACCCATCCCCTCCATAAACCATTTTTTTGTATAAGTTGCAGTAGCAGAATTCACACAAGATCTTACAATAAAAACAAACAAGTCACAGTTTACTGTAATTTAGGGTGTGGAGTTTTAAATTTGGGGGGTGGGGTGGGGGAACATCTTTGAAAATTTGAGAATATGTATGGGCATGGTCACAGAATGACTATGTTGCCTTCTGGCATCTCATCTTATGGGTTTTTTTGGGGGGGAAAATTATATAATATTGATTATAAATTAAATTAGCTTAAGAAGAAATGACTTTTTCCCTGTCACACAAAGATGCTTTTAAAGTCATTATTCAAGAAGTTCAGTCACAGTTGAATTGCATGAAAATTTAATTTTTGTCAGAGGTGCAACCTTCCCTGTAAGACCCAAAGCAAAACTTAGTTCCTGAGTTTACATTCATAAAATCAGTCTTTTGTGGAGCAGTAGAAGACCTGGTCTAGACAAGATCAGCTGGTTTGTGGTGGCTGTTTCCACTAGATGGTGCCATTATGCAGTGCACAATTGTCTGACGTGTATCTTGGCAACCCAGAATGATGTTTCTTGCTTATGTTTTTAAGCATGGGCACCTTTTCACAAAAACATCAGGTGGATATTACGGACATTCTGCTCCAGCAAGGCAGGAGGAGAAGAAGGATAAATGAGAGTCAATATTGGATTCTTAGGATTTGTTGTCACAAACAGTAATATATACATTAAAAAGTTTAGAGTTCTAAACATCACTACAATTATTGAAGTTCATTGGTTTATTTAGAAAGTAAAATGCAGATCCAAAAAATGCTAATAAATATACTTTATAATCCGGTTGCATATCTGAGATATTTTTTCATAATTCTCAGAAAATTAGAAGGCGTGCAAATATGGCAGTTCTTAAGCAATGTACAATGTTCAGGATTTCTGGGAGAGTTCAGAGTAAAGAAAGAGGGAAAGGGATCTATTTTCTTAGCGATTTTTGCTCTCGTAACTGGATCTCCTCCAGTTATGAGGATTGCAGTCCAAACACAGCTGGAGAAGAGACAGGTTAGACCAGTGTTTCTCAGCATGTGATGGATGTAGGGAGGAGCTGCATCTCCAGGAGGGAGGGGCTGCATTCCAGAGGAGTAAGAGGCAACTCAGTTTAGATGTTGTATGTGAGAGAAAGAGGGTGAAGACAGTGCCTCCCTAATAGTTCACAAAGTATATTGTAGATGCAGATAATAGAGTCCTCAGCCTGGCAAGATTTTATCTATAGGTGTGAAACAACGAAGAACTCAGCTTAGTTTTGGGCCTAACGCAACCTCAACAACTTTAAGATAGTGGACTTGAATTTTTTGGCTGGAGGACTTCTGGGAGCTGGAGTGCACACATCTTAAAATAGCTGAGATTGAGAAACACTGCACTTCCTCTAATTCAAGGAAGAAAGAGAAGCTGACTTACAACTGTCTAGTTCCAGTTCTCCTGGTCTACAGGATCTAGTGAATTAATTCTACCCTGTTGCCTTCCCATGTTTTTTGATTTCACATTTTGTTTTGTCTTGATAAAGGTCTACATGGAAAGAAGGAAGAGGAGGAGGGCCAGACCCAAATAGTCTAAGCCAATGATGGGGAAACTTTTAGAGACCGAGTGCCCAAAACCTGCCCTGCCCCACCCCCACCCCGCCCACCTGCAGGGCAACTCACCGCCTCCACAGCCCGCTGCAGATCACCCAGGCGGCCCAGCAGTGCCATGGTGGACACACCCTCTGAACTCTGCACATCAAGTGTGTGACGGGGCGTGAGGGCGGAGTCTTGTCCCCGCTGCCTGGCTGCCATGTGCTTGGCTGTGCTGCTCCATGTGGTCCGTGCCTGGGGGCGACTCTCCTCCAGGGGGGATGCTGGTGAGGAGGGGCTGCGGGAGGAGGCGGGGTTGGGGCAAAAGCACACATACCCACAGAGAGGGCTCTGAGTACCGCCTCTGGCACATGTGCCATAGGTTTACCACCACTGGTCTAAGCATTCTGGTGGAGTCCTGTAGCAAGACCCTTCCCATCCTTGTTATGGGGCCTTAATGATGGATGTTTTGCTGGTGACTAGTCTCCTAAATCCAGTCACTTTAATGACTGGCACTCTCACACATCAGCTGTGACTCAGAAAGATGCAGCAGGGACTGAATTGGGATTGGGTAGCTTTTCTACTGGCAGTATTTTATGCCAGCTCAAAGATGGAGGGTTAGCAAATTTGCTGAGTCGTAGGGAAACGGCCTTTGTTTTGTCTTTTATGTCCATACTAAGCCCTCACCCTTCCAAACTCACGGGCTAAAGAGAACGATGATAACTACATGGTCACAGCCATGATGTCTAGACTTCCAGGGCTCTGAAATTAGGGGCATCCATTGTTACCAGCTACTTTTGTTAGTTTCCTGTTAATTGTTATTCTCAAGGAACAGCTGGCAAGCTTTAGAGTGTTTCCTCACGTCATGAAACTGGCCCTGGCTTAGGCCCGTTTGATAAGCTTGAAATGCAAGAATCATCCGATGTTTTCTTCCCCACCAAGATGTGCCTGCACTGTCACACACACAAATGCACACACACTTCATATGTCATGAAATTGGCTATAGTAAGGCAGGCTGACTAAACACAAAGTTATGTTACCTCTCCATGAACCCACCCAAAGGAAAAAGTGAGAGACCCATCCACAAAAATGACTTTTTTTTTCAAAAGCTAAAACAAAGATACACACAAACGTTTTATCATTTTTTGCTAAATCTCAACACTTTTTTAAAATTTAAAGACTAAGATTGTGACCTGTTTTTAGTCAGCCTGTTAAAAAAAACCTGTCACGTGTGCCTGATTTGTCCTTCTAAACAAATGTAAACTATTTCCCTCTGGTTATTTAAAACTTGCTAATTGAATGTAATGAAGTTAAAATTGGCTTGGGACTCTGAACCCCAAGATGCTTTTTTTTTATTTTAAGATTCCCACATTAAAATGAGGTGTAAGGGATGAGGAGGAATATATGCTAATGACTACTGAACCAGCCAATAAACACCATGGAGTGAAATTGCCTTAGGTCTTTCCTATTGGAATGGATCTACTAGTACAGGGCTTTTCAACCAGTGGTACGGGTACCACCTGTGGTACATTGGCACCTGGCAGGTGGTACGTGACCATCCTAGAAAAGTGGTAGCGGGGGAGGAGAATGAGCTGAACCGGTGGCAGCACCACACAAGTCTTAGCGAGAGATGGCTGGAGCTGCAGGGCTGTCAGGGCTCAGTGGAAGCGCCAGGATCAGTGCCAGGCTCCAGCTGGAGCTTGGTGCTGATCCTGGTGCTTCTGCTGAGCCCTGAAGAAGCACCAATCAGCTGGAAAGCAGCACTAATCCTGGCATTTTTGCTGAGCCCAGAAGAAGCGCTGATCAGCTGGAATGTTGCAGCATCCCCAGGGTTTTGTGATTTACATTCCGATGCTTGGCAACTGATTCATATTTATGACGGTCACAGTGCCCAAGGTCATGTGAAGTGACCAAAACCTGATGCAACCACCCAGCAGATGGGGGGAATAAAAAACAAACACTCCCCCACCCCACCCCTGCTGCCAATCCTCAACAGAAATGCTCACAGTGAAAACCTCGAACAGGAGGAAGAGCATCGCCGTGCGGGCAGGCAGGTGTCTTGTTCGGCTGTGGCTTGGGGGGCACTTTTTTCAGTGCCATTGTAACTTCGAACAGTCACTAAGCGAACTGTTGTAAGTCGAGGACTACCTGTACTTTATCACTTTTTTCCTTTTTTGGGAGGGGGGTCATCAAGTTTTTGACACCCTGCCAGGCGACTGCTGGTACTCGGATACTGCCATATCCTAAAAGTGGTACAATGGGTGAAAAGGTTGAAAAGCCCTGTACTAGTAGATACCCACCAACTCAGTGGTGGGATTCAAATATGTGAACAACCGGTTCTCTGTGTGGATGCTATTCCGGAAGTCTATTCTGGGCCTGGGCAACAAAAAATTAGCTACCGGTTCTGCCGAAGTGGTGTGAACCAGCTGAATCCCACCACTACACCAACCACATATCTATCTACCCTTCTCACAGTTCACAAAACTTTTCTGCAGATGTTGCACCGCTCTGCTTCCAAACGGAAATGACATCTGGAAGTTCAGCACAAGAACATAGTGGGGGAGGGGAATAGGAAAATCAAGCTGTTACTATGTGCTATAGATCTCTAATAGGTGGAGGTTGCAGATTTTATAACATTGTAAATTTCAAAGGAAAAAAAATGGGTTTTCACTAGTTGGAAGTTTACTTGCAAGGAGATTTTGGTTTACTTTTCCCAACTTGCATGTAAACATGGCACAAATATGCCCTGGCAACTTCTTATTTCCATTCCTTTGACACTGTCCATCTGCTCCCCAGCCCATAGGAATAAAATAGCCTTAGCTGTACTGGTGTTCTAGCCAGTGCTTTTTTTCTAAAAAAAAAAAAAGGTGCTGGAACTCACATATGTCATACAATCCGCCTTGCCTACCCTACAAGGTTCCATCCAAAAAAGGTGCCGGAACTCCATTCTGGGCGTTCTATGAGAAAAAAAGCCCTGGTTCTACCTATGGCTAGCAAGGAACACAAACATAAAAACCTGTCTTATCCTGATCAGTGATATAAATCACTTCATCAGTCCAGCTGTCTCAGTAGCAGCCACACTGACTGCCTGAAGCTCTCTAGGGTTCCAGATAGCAAATGTTCCTAGTCCTTCTCAAAACGTGAGATATGAAATCAAGAACTTTCTACCTGCAAAGAACATGATTCATGCCTATCCTATCACACTGTATTCTTAACATTGAAGATCTGAGGAAGTGAGAGGATGTTGCTACAGGCACTTTTTGGCTGTTGAGGAAATTCAGACTCATTTGACAGTGTTTCAAAGAGGGTACCTTCTTAGAGTTTGTTAGAGAGGGTATGTGCGGTGGGAAGCCCCACAGAGAAGGAAATATTAAAAGGGCAGAATATATTTCCTCTAGAGGATTTTAAAGGTAGAAACCCACCCCACCCCCAAGTCTCTCTGTCCCAAACAGAAACCAAGTCTGTAGAAATGCAGGTGATAATCTTGTCAGAAAGACTGGAATCAGGAAACTGGGATTAGGAAGAAAGATCTCTAAAATCAACACCAAAAATCTAAGAGTCATCAGCCCCAGCCCCAGGGAAGCAGGATATGACCCTTGGGACATAATAGAATTAACTCACCATCATCAGAATACCAGAAAGGCACACTCAGACTCAGGTCAAAGTTCATGCCACAGGAACAACTCCAAACAAAAGGCTCCAGAGGGTATAAAAACCCACTCCCTACATGTGCTTGCTCTCTCTTTTCTTCCAGAGCTCTCCTCTTCAACTGCAAACTGCAACCTTCTTTCTAAAGCAGTCGCCATGTTGTTTATTCCCGGCTTGGACCGAATCATGATGAAGACTTTTCCTTCAACAGTGCTTATACAATCTTATAATTTCCTTGGGCACGGAATTGTAGGGCTGTAGATCCCTCAACAGAGTGGGGTGACCCTGTTCTCCAGGATCACATGATGATGATGCTTTTCTTGCATTTCTGCACTAGAAGCCTAATTAATTTTTAGCACTGTAGAGAAATTAATATTCCAAAGGAGTATTGATTTTTGGAGAAGGACACAAGCTTGGTTTACAAGCTTAGTTCTCTCTCTCTCTCTCTCTCTCTCTCTCTCTCTCTCTCTCTCTCTCTCTCTCTCTCTCTCTCTCTCTCTCCCTCCCTCCCTCCCTCTCCCTCTCCTCCTTCCCTCTCTCTCTCCCCGCCCCTTGTTAGTAGTCCAGTTTTGACCCAATTCCTATTGACACTTAGATGAAAATGGTAGACCATCCATAACAATGATTCATAGAATAATTTTTTGAAAGTCACCTGAGCTAAAAGCCAGCTTGCAACAGGTATGTATACATGATCCAGTGATCAGGGAGGCCAGCAACTGATGTCTACAATAAAAAAGATTTAGGACTATATTTTAACAATCAGCCCCAAGACAGCTCAATGTGTAGCTCCGATCTGAGTTCTTATACGTAACTTCTTTTGGCAGAGGAAATCAAAGCCAGGGGGTGGGAAAGAAAGAGGTTTTGCTACTTCAGTCTTGGAAGGAAGCCTGCAGGGAAATCTCCGTAGTGGTACACAGGCTTCCAAGAAGGCGGCATTTAATTTTTCTGTGAGACCAAGATTTCCAGCCACACAATGCTGGGAAATGTGCAGTCAACATGTTTGTGTTGGGACTGGTGCGCAGGGAATAAGCATTTTGGCTGAAAGCCAGTTTGATAAGGAGACCTCTGCACTGCTGAAGCAAGCTCACAAGAGACAGCCCTGTGACAGTGGCTAGAAGTACAGTGGGAAATAGGAGATACCGGTTTTAGTTTCCTCCTAGAGAAATCCAAATGTGACCAGCATCAGGCAAAGCCTGGATTTTGTTCTGCAAAGGAGAATAATTTTAGTGAAGGAACGAAACAGGAATTAACATCAAGAACTCCTGCTTTACACAGCCAGCATGAATCAGGCAGCCAAAGCTGACTGTAGAAAAAAAATAACATCATGGACAATTTCCACATGAGGATTGCATGTGAGCTTGAAATCAGTTGTGGTCTTTAATGTAGTTACAACTGGCACTTAAACAAGCACCATGACTACTTCCCAAATATCTCCAAAACATTTGGAAGTGGGTGTGATTATCTTCGTTCCTAATAACCTCAAAGTATTAAGCCATTTGGTGCTTCCTCCTGCCAACCAGTAAGTTGCACAAATCATAATTAGTGCCTGTTCCTGAACAGGAGTAACAAATACCCCTTTGCATTTGTTTTGCGGTTTTGCATATTATAAATCCCAAGCTGTTGTTATTAATTCAGCTATCCACCTTCAAGGTATTATATTTCCTACATATCAATTCCCATTCAAAGCTAAGAAGATGGCATCACTGCACTGTTTAGCAGCCATGGGCTTCTTCTTTTGTGTTCAACCATGTTTGTGACGCTGATGTCTCTGGTTAGGGGAGCTAGAGAAGGGAAGAGGGCACGTAATGTGCTGCTTGAATCTCGAAGCTGTGAACCAATGTAAAGCAAGAGCTTCCCCCATGCTGGTTACATATATAAGGAGGAAAAATCAGGCTAGGTAGTTTTAGAGGGATTGTGAGTAGAAGGTTCAATCTCTGTGTAGTTATGAGAACAAAATGAAGTGGGAACTACATAAAAGCACCTTGAGCTCCTGGTAGAAAGATGGGATATAACTTTAATACATACATGCAAACAATAAGCCCAGATTTGTTGATGAGGTTACCTGTGAAATCTGCAGAGAGCTCTGTGTTCAGATGCTGGAACGAATGGGTGAGGCAACTGTTCTTGTGAACTGGTGTCACTCCAGCATGGTAAATCTGAAGAATGAATTTTAACTGCTTGAGCTACACCACAGCTTACCTGGAAGAAAATGGATTTGACTGCTTGAGAAGGTATATGTTATGAGAACATAGTAGGACTGTGCTGATGCTTCAGAATGCAAATGCTACATAGAGGGGCCAAAGCTCAGCTGTGTTGGTGAGCTGAGTTGATTTATTTCTAGTAAATGTCATCAAGTTGAAACAATGCAAAGCTAAATTGTCTGAGAGCAGAATAGCAACAGCACTTAGATTTCTATACTGCTTCTCAGTGCTTCATAACCCTTTCCAAGTGCTTTACAGAGACAGCCTATTGCCCCCAGCAATCTGGGTCCTCATTTTATTGCCCTCAGAAGGATGGAAGGCTGAGTCTACCTTGAGCTGCTCAGAATCAAAGTCCTGGCAGTGAACAGTGAGCCTGCAGTGCTGCATTATAACCCCTGCACCTCCACGGCTTTTAATGCTGTTGAGATGTTGTAGCTTTAATTCCCTCTGGAGGAAATTCTTGCCTGACCCTCCCTCCTGACTCCAGAACTTCAGGTCCTGCAAGGAAAATGATGCACTGATGGTTTTGCTGTTTCCTTTCAGCAGAAGAAAAGAGCAAGAGTGAAATTGGCAAGTCTGTTCATTCCTCTTCCTGCATGGCACCAGGCCAGGTGCCAGAGCCCTGCAGGGAAAGGGGCCAGTTATGTTATTTCCTTTTTTCTCCTTGTAGTATGGAGTGAGGAGATTCTTGCTACTGAAACGTAAAGGTGCTCTTGAGCATTACGTATGGATTTCTGCTTGGCATGACTTGATGAGCAGGGTTAAAGAGATAGGTAGTCCTCCGGCTATGATGGCAATTGGGACTGAATTTTCCCATCAGTGAGCTATGTGGTTGCAAAGCTCAAAGTCACATGATCACATCACTTAGCAACAACAATCTTGGCAGACCTGGTTGCTGTCACAACCCCAGGACTGCACTGGTTGTTAAGCAAGTATTTTATGTGACTGCAATGTGGGGAAAAAGTAGGAGTCCTGGGCAAACTGGCTGGCAGGCGAAAGCAATGGGGCAGTAGGTGGGTGGCACAAATGAGTGCTATGGCGCAGACAGGTGCTGCGGGCAGGGGGGTGCCACAGGTGGGCATTACAAAGTGCAGGCAGGCAGACAAAAAAAAAAATGGCAGGAGTGGCTTGCAACCTCCTGCCAGCTTCCTCACTGACTTTGCTTGTGAGAAGCCAGGAGGGAAGGTTTCAAATAGCAATAGCACTTAGGCTTATACACCACTCCACAGTGCTTTACAGCCCTGTCTAAGAAGGTTACAGAGTCAGCACATGGCCCCCGGTAATCTGGATCCTCATTTTACCCACCTCGGAAGGATGGAAGGCTGAGTCAACCTTGAGCCGGTGAGGATCGAACTGCCGAACTGCTGGCAGCCAGCAGTCAGCAAAAGTAGCCTGCAGTACTGCTTTCTAACCACTGCATCACGGCTCTTGATAGTGATAACATGATGGTGGGAAGCCATTGTAATTGTGAGCTGGCTGCCAAGTACCCAAATTGTGATCATGCGACTGTGGGGATGCTGGGACAGCTGCAAGGAAGTGTGGAAGTCCCCCTCATTCAGCACCTTTCTAATTTTGAATGTTTGCTGAACAAGTTGTTGTAACTGAAGACTATTGGGCATTGGTTCAGGCTTCAGTTGATACATAAAAGTTTATAAACCGTAATTCTATAACTTGTTTATTAAGGAGGGTTACTCAGCTCTTTGATGTAAAGCAGACTAAGAAAGCAAAGTTGTGAATGCTAGTACTACTTTTATTATAAGGTTACCGCATAAGTAAAAGTATCTTGCATGTCTGAATATGCCTACCCCCTCGTTCCCTTTATCATGGTGAGAACTAGGCATGTCTAAAATGCCTTCTTAAATTATGTTTCTGCCTTTGACCCAAAATTCATTTATCTGACCACTGCCTCAGTTGTGCTTCTTCCTCTTGTTCCTACTGCCCATTACAAGAGTAAGAACACCTTGATAAATATGCTTGTTTTGGAAGCAAAGATGATGTAAAACGTTTATCTGGCCTTTAGCAAAGAGCGAGAAATGAAGAGATAAAATAATATCAGAAATTGTTTAATGCTATCCTTTGTAAGGTGGGCAATATGGAAGTACAAATCCATCTATTTTAAAGATACTGTATACAGACAGGGGTAACGCATTGGCAGTAGTATATGAATAATGGCAAAATGGAGTAACTTAGGCTTTTAGAAGTAGGGGCTTTGAAATATGTAGGTTCTATAGGAAGCTAGAAGTAACCGCAAGCAGGAGGAAATATAAAAATAAAGATAGGGCTTACCGTTGATCGGTAATCAAGGGCATAAAGATAAGGAAGAATGAGTATAAACTGCGGGCTTTTGCAGATGATTTGGTCTTAATTTTGGAACAACCGAATCAAGCGATTGGTTGCTTATTAGAACTTATAACACAGTATGGGAAAGTTTCTGGTTTCAAAGTTAATAATTATAAGACTAAGATATTACCCAAGAATATGTCAGTTAAGGATAGGGAAAGTCTGGTTAAAGCTACAGGTTTTCAGATGGTAAAAAAGGTTAAATACTTGGGAGTATATTTAACTGCTTCAAATGGAAAATTGTATAAGAACAGTTATGAATTATTATGGGCAAAAATACAAAAGGATTTAAATGATTGGAAAAAATTGCAACTGTCATTGTTGGGGAGAATTTCAGCTGTAAAAATGAATGTTCTACCAAAGTTTCTTTTCTTGTTTCAGATGATACCTATTTTAAAAAAAGAGGTAAATTTGGAGGAATGGCAGAAGGGTACTAACAAATTCATTTGGGCTGGGAAAAAACCAAGGATTAAGTTTAAGATTTTGCAAGATGCCCGAGAAAGAGGAGGATTTAAGGCACCTAATTTGAAATTATATTATGATGCAGCTGCCTTAACTTGGCTAAGTGATTGGCTCAATTTAACAAATAAGGATATTCTTTTTCTGGAAGGGTGGGATTTAATGTACGGTTGGCACGCATACTTAATTTTTAATAAGAAAGTCGACCGGATTTTTAAATCACATATTCTGAGGAATGCCTTACTTCATGTTTGGAAAAAGTATTATTATAGGTTAAATTAAAAAATACCTATCTGGGGGATTCCCAGACATGCAATTGAGGGAACGTCTAAGGGCATGAACTTTGATAAAATTTCGTATAAAGAATTATTAATTTGGTCAGGTTTGGATTGGCATTTAAAATTGCTAGATGTATTAAGGTAAGAAAATATTCTACAGTCATGGTTTCAATATTTACAAATAGTGGATAGGTGGACTGTAGATAAGAAAGAGGGAATAACATTAGAAGACAAACAATTGGTTATTCAGATTAAAAATCAGAGTCAGGCTCATATAAAAAGAATTTATAATGTTTTATTAGAGTTAGACTCGGAAACAGAATTGGTCAAAGACTGTATGATTAAATGGGCTCAGAATATACAGGAACCGATCCCATTAGATTTATCAGAGATAATTTGGATCAGAAATGTCAAATTTACACAAGCTCAAAATTTGAGGGAAAATTTTTATAAAATGTTTTATAGATGGCATCTAGATCCTAAAAAATTGTCTTGTATGTATTCTAATATACAGCCCAAATGTTGGAGATGTGGCAATAAGGATGCGACATACTTTCACATTTGGTGGAATTGTAAAAAGATAAAGGCTTTTTGGATTATGATTTGGTGGAACATTCAAAAGATTTTTAGAAGGAAGATAAAGTTTACTCCTCAATTATTTTTATTGGGTATTTTTGTGGATCTAAATGACAAAGAAACTACGTTAATGTTGAATTTATTAACTGCGGCAAGGTTACTAGTAGGCTCATATTGGAAGAAAGATTCCTTGCCCACTTTAGAAGAATGGATATTTAAAGTTTCTAGTTTCACAGAAATGGCAAAAATTTCTGCTTATTTGAAGAATCATACACAAGAAAGATATATTATTGTATGGAGAAGATGGATAGATTATATTCAGAAAAAGTATGGAACTACAAAGTTTCATTTATTTTATGAGTAAATTTTATAGTAAATGTTGTAGAGATTTGTTTATGATGTTATTGGAGTTAAAGGTTAAGTATGATATTTTCTTTTTTTTTCTTTTTCTTTTTTCTTTTTCTTTTTTACTGTTAACTCTGTCATTAATAACCCTGTATTCTGCTCTGGGAAGTGAGGGGAGGGGGTTTGAGGGTGGGGGGGTGGAAGTGTGGGTGGGTAAGGATAATATAGATAAGGTAATTTATAAGAAAGGTGCGGCATGCGTTCATGTGTTTGAGAGGATGAGAGGAGAAGAAGGTGTAGGGAGGAAGTAGGACGGCAAGAGGAGAGGGGGAGGGGAAGAGAGTAGGAGGGGAGGAGAGAGAGAGGAGGGAAGTAGGGAAGGTTTTAGAGAGGGTGGACGCGGCCTGGGGGGAATGGGCAGGTGGTACCAATGGTTATGAATTTATTTTATTTTAAAATTGTATTTTGTATGATGTATAAATGGGGGAAAAATAAATTTTTTTAATAAAAAATAAATAAAATAAAGATAGGGCTAATGTCAGCAAAAGGTCATAGTTAACAGGTATGTGAAATATAAGGGCTTTTTCCTGGGAGGGGATGAACTGAAATGTATTCTGTTTAGGCGCTTCGGATTAGCTGATCGGATGAGCAGGTGGGCTGTTGAATGCGATAGGGATGGGGGGGGGGGACCAGCTTCCTAAGAAGATATAAATATGTGTTTTTAAAAACTATTTTGTGTGGCTTATTCTCCTACATGAGTTTAAGACCACCAGCTTTTGCAAAAGCTTTAATTCAATAAAACTCTGTTCCTGGAATCCCAAGTGAGTTTGTTTGACTTTGGAAACCTGAGCCATATTCCAAACAGTGGGAACTTCAACCTTCCTATCAGCAAGGATCTCAGGGAGTAAAATATTTAGGAGCTGTGGCAGAGAAGGCTCTTTTCCTGGACCCTGCCAGTTGAAATTCTCCTGCAGGATGGCTCTCTGCTGGCGTGGGTGGGGTGAGCCAGTCCTCAAGTAACCTAAACCCATGCCATGCAGGGCTTTAAAGGTGTTTGAGATAATACCATCTACACAGCTCAGGCATAAGGAAGTTTTATGCAGAGTTAGAGCTTAGTGGAAAAGGACAAGGGCATCAGTCCAAAATTTAGGTTTCTTTCTAGGTTACAGACTTCAGGAGGAGAGGAAGGCAAAACCTCAACTACAGCAACAGTTAGTCTGAATGGCCAAAATTACAATTCAGCAGGCCCCGTGAGTTGTAATTTTGAGCAGATATCTGCTTTGTTTATTTGGGTCTCTGGGAGTTTTCATTCCACCCAGACTTTGTAGACTGCCCTATAAAATGGGAGTTAGCAACCCTTTGCATAGGGTCATTTTATGTTACCTTCAAACAGAACTGCTATAGCATCATATATTTAATAAGTCTGTAGATTGAAGAACACTAGAATTTTCCAATTCAGATTAAAACTCAATCTTAGTTTTATCCTGGCCTTTCTTGGATTCAGCTTAGATCACATATAACTCTTTAGTTTACTTGCCCTCCCTGCAAATTCCTTCCGTTCCATCTGCTTTAACAGGATGCGAATTCTCCCTTGAGGATCTTGTCAGAAAGTATTTGTGAGACATCTTGTTCTATACCTCATTTACTCACAATGACTAGTGGCATGTACGTGAGAGGGAAATTGTATTTGTTCTTAAATTTGCTACTGCTGGAAAGAAATGTGGCCAGACCGTTGTTGGCAAAGGTAAATTTTGTTCTCCACATGCTTTCTTCTGCCTCCCTGGAACAATTGAATATTTCCTCAGTTTTCCCATTATGAATACTGTATATTCAATCAGATATTTATGTACTACTTTTTGGTCCTCATAAAGAGATCTCAAAACAGAGAAACACAATGTTAATAATCTATTCATGGCTTTAAAATACAAAATTATGCGTAGTTATTATAAACATGAGAACAAATACACAACAGAATTTTTTTCAGCAGTTACGTATTCCAATAGCAGCATGACATCTTTTCACCGCAATACTGTTCAACCACAACAGTATTGTGGTGGAATGTGGCCCAGAGGTGCAGGAGGGAAGGACCCTTTCCCAGAGATCAAAGACACAACAGAGCTTGGACCCTTTGGTGTGCAGGAAAAGGTGAAAGTTGGATTCTTCCTGGCAATTCATAGACTATATCTTAATAGTTATGCAGATACCAGTAGCTGCTTTAGTCTGGCAAGATTTCTGTCACGTTTCTGTCTGAAACTGCTCAGAAATAACTCAATGTGTCAATCTTACTTCCTTGGGCCTAATATATATCCAAAGAAACCTGAATCAAACTCGCTAACTGAACTATAGGTAATCCTCAACTTATAGTTATTCGTTTAGTGATTGTTTGAAGTTACAAAGGCATTGAAAAGTGTGACCTACAATCAATCCTCATAGTTATGATTGTTGCGGCATCTTCACAATCATGTAATCAGAATTTGGGCCCTGGCAACTAGCATCTATTTATGACAGTTGCAGCAACTTGGGGTCAGATGATCACCATTTCCTAGCTGGCTTTTGACAAGCAAAATTGATGGGGGAAGCCAGATTTGCTTAAAAATCATGTGACTCACTTAACTGCCGGG